GGCGTTCCACGTCAACGCGCGTGCTCCGCCAACGTCGTCGGCGCAGGCCCGCGCCGGCAGCGTTCGAGGTTGTGCGCAAGGGCCCCGCGAGGAAGCGGCCGACGCGATGGCGCAGAGGGGCCCCGAGAGCCCGCCACCCTGGACGACGTCACTACGAACCCAGAAGATTAAGACAGACTGCGAACGACGACCTGCGAGCCCACTACGAGCTGCGAGCCCACTACGAGCTGCGAGCCCGCTGCAAGCCAAGAGCTGCGAGCCCACCACGAACTGCTGACCCACCCGACGAGACCACGCCCTCGATCGCGGTGCGCAAGAAGTTCACAGATGCGACGAAGGCCTCTGAATACCCGCGGCGCTGGAGGACGAGGAGCACGAGCTATCGGTTCAGGGGCGGGAACGCCTGGCCGAAGTCTAGGGAGGCACGAGGGGGGCGCCCCGAGAGAGCGGGGGCGTCGACGACAGAGGGCGAGCACTGGCATCGAGCTCGAGGAGATTGAAACCAAAATTACGTCGCGGCGCGAAGCACCGCTGGCACGGAGGGACAACGACCTGCAACGCGGGCAAGACAGCATGATTCATCACCGACGACAGCAACTTGATGTCAGCGCTGCGCGGCACGAGCACCCTGACTTTGTCGGAAAACAAATCCGCTCTCCCAGGGCATGCTCCTGGTCCGAGACGGCCTGCGGAAGGAACGTCTGGAGAGTCACCGATGCGTCGTCAAAGAGCGCCTGCCCCGAACGTGGCCAAGAGCCGAAAGCACCCACGATGAGGATCGTCTCCCCGAACTTGTCAGCGGACCAGGCGGCGCATGGTAAGCCGCCCACCCCACGAGACGAATCACGAGCAGAACGCATCGCTCCCATCACGGCGTGCAAGGCGGGCGGCGGATGATGTAGATCATCGATCGTCGGCAGCCATTGAGGAACATATTGAGACGCGACATGCGCATCCCACGGCCTGCGCGAGAAGACAGGGCGCCAGCACGCAGAAATGGTATCCGATCGATCACAGGGGGCAACGGCTAGGGCGCCGTCAGGGCGACGAACGGACGACAAACAGATGCGCTTCCCGATCGGTGCCCGCAGCTGCGCTCTTCGCCCAAGGGCTCGAAGCTGAAATCGCAATTGCTGCGAGGTTCTCTGCTGCGACTGTCGAGCATTCACTTCATTCGAGCATCCACTTCAGACCTAAGTGCCTCGGAAGCCTCGCGCTGGACCCTGCAGACCCACTGCTCCAAGGGCGACGGGTACGTCGGGCGGACCTCAGGCCCAGACAGCTCCAGGAAGTCGGCGACCGCGGGATGGGGCTCCAGCATTCCGTGGACGAGTTTGGCATCCTGCCTTCACATCACCCAGGCCATCGCCCGGGCCACTTGGAGGAGGGCCCTGGGGCGGCGGGGTTTCTAGAGAAGGAAGTCCCTGCTCTACGCCGCCGAGATCCGCGGCAATTCTTGGCGCCGCTCCAACCGACCAGGAGGCGACGTGAATTGCCGATCAACCGAGTCGACCAGACCTCGGAGCCGACCTCGACAGGAGGGATCCCGCCAAACTGCTCGAGGTACCACGCGCTGAGCGGGGGGGGGCAGCACGAGAGGCAAGGGAGACGATGACCGCGACGTGATCGGATATTTTCGAATGGACACCTCGGCGGCCGCTTCCGCCGTCGCCGAGGATGCGCGCAGCTGGCAGACCTGCCAGCACTGCAACGAGACGAAAACACAGGCCGGCTCGCTGCCCTCGACCCCCACCATCTTGAGCAGCACCTGCCTCCGCCTCGTAGCGCGACCATGGTGACGGCGAGCAGCGCGAGAGACCGCTTCCGTCGGCGCGCCCAAAGTGAGCGTCTCCTCGCCCGAGAAGTCGAAGTCCCCAGTGACCGCCACCAAGCGTTCAATGTGAGAGGCAGCAGCCGCAGCCACCAAAGCGGAGATAGCAGCCGTTGCAGAGCGCACCTCCGCCACCGTTAAGTCATGGTTGCGCGCATTCACAAAGCAGAGGGACTGCGAGCCCGCCGTAACCCGAGGACAAAAGGACACGCCAAGGCACGAGAGCCACCAGTTCAAGTCGAAAAGGCTCTCCAGCTACCGCGGCGGGGCGAGGCAGAAGGATGGCAACTCCACCGCGACTGCGGCCCGCGCGATCGTCGCCGCAGAAGCTCGCGAATACCTGCGCGTCAGGAAAGACAGCCGCCGCAAACCGACGAAGCTGGGCTTCGTCTTGCTGCACTTCTGGGAGCGATGGCTCGGTACGGCTGGGAGCCAGTGGCCAGTCCTCCCGCCCACAGCTCGAAGCAAAGCTCGACAGGTCCAAATGCAAAGTGGCAGCGGCGAAGACGCTGAGCCAGTGGGATGGACGCGTGCACCGGAACAAGTGGGCGGCGTCAAAGATCCCACTTGGACGGCTCCCGGGGGGCCACGGCGGGGGCGGTCGCGCGCGCCAAGGCGCCCTTGGAGAGCCCGAGCTTGGAGAGGCGAGCAAGATCCCAGTCAAGAGGAGGAGAATCACCAGGGCCCGCCTACACCCGCAGCAGCTTGTCCCAATCGGCGGAGAGGATGCCCCTCTCGCGGTCGCTGTGCAGCTTGCAGTTGCTAGGGGTGACATCGGCGCTGGCCGCGCGGCAGCGTCGTAAGACAAGCTCCGTGTTGATCTGCTTGGGGGACTGATCGGGGCCGAAATGCAGGCGTGTCCACGTCAGATCCAGAGACAGCCACCGTGAACTCGCGCCAGGATTTGCCTTGCCCTGCTTGCGGCCAGAAAGGACGCGGAGCACCTTCCTCGCGCAAGGGCCGACCATACCGCTGAACTGCACTAGGAAACGCTCGGTGGGAACCTAGCCCCGCACCTCGATCTTGTACTAATCAGGCGTGAAGTTTAGTCGTTGATGGTATTGGAGGCGGCCTCGAGCGTAGTCGCACGCTGAGCCACGGCGACCAAGATGGTGGCGTCGGGGTCGTGGTCGAAACCGTTGGGGACAGCCACCGGCGCCACAGGCCGCCAGCCAGCAACAGCCGATATAGATCGCCTGGGCGGAAGCTTACCCTAGGCCCTACCCAGGCGCTGCCCAGGGGCCTACGGTAGCCTGGGGTAGGCTCTACCCAAGGGCCTAGGGGCCTAGGGTAGGGCAAGGGTCTACCCAAGAGCCTAGAGTAGGGCAAGGGTAGGGCCTAGAGGTAGCCCTAAGGGCAAGGCCTAGGGCAACCCTAGGGGTAGGCCCCGGAGTAGGCCCTAGGGTAGACGCAAGGTAGGCAGGCCTAGGGGTAGGCCTGGGGAAAGCCTTGGGGTAGGCGGGGTAAGCCGCAGGGTAAGCCTGGGGGTCGGCCAGGGGGTAGGCCCTACGGATAGGCCTAAGGTGGACCTGGGGGTAGGCCCTACGGTAGAGCTAAGGTAGGCCTAGGGCCTAGGGGTGGGCCCTAGGCTAGGCCCCTTAGGCCCTATGGTAGGCCTAGGGGTAGGCCTCAGGGTAGGCCTTAGGGCAGGCCTAGGGTAGGCCTAGGGTAGACCTTGGGATTAAGCCCTAAGGCCTAAGGTAAGCCTAAGGTGGGCCGTGTCTGGGCGATCTACATGCAACAGCCAGAAGCTTGCGAAATTCATCCAGTTGAGACCACATGCGCGCGAACTCACCGTCGTGCGCGTCGAGGCGGGAGTTTTGCTCGTGGATGGAAGCAGTGTGCGCGCCCAGCTGGGCCTGGCGTCGGCGAGATAGGTCGTCGACCTGTGGGCGGATGGCAGCCTGCAGCTGCGGGTCCATGGAGGTGGACTGGACTGGGCGGTGACTTGCGTCCTGAGGCCGTCGATGACGGCCAGGAGGGCGTCGTGGCTGTTGGCCACCGTTTTGCCAGCAGCAACACCCACGGATTCGATGAGCGAGACCCGCATGGAGGCGAACTCATCTCTGAATATCTGGCGCAAGCAGTCGTCACTAGTCCACACATCGCCATTATCACCAGCATCCACCACATCAGCGCCAGCCAGAGGAGCCCGCCTGCGCGGGATGACACCACCTTTGCCGCCTTTGCCTCGCCCCGCGACGTGGGCAGGGTCCCGGAAGGCGACCGTCGGAAGGGCAGCCAGAGGATCCACCTGAGATGCAGCAGCGGCAGCAGCGGAAACGCCATTGGTCACGTTGGTCTGCGAGGATGCATGGCGGAATTGGTCGCAGAGCGCGGAGTAGGAGCGGGAAGGCCGCGGCGCACGCTTGGAAGCACGGGGGCCTGGATCAATCCCCTCGGCTGCTTGCAAGTTCCAAGCGCCAGGACACTCGAGGAGGAGGAGGAGGAGGAGAAGGAGGAGGAGGAGGAGGAGGAGGAGGAGGAGGAGGAGGAGGAAGAAGCGGAAGTGGAGGAGGAGGAGGAGGAGGAGGCGGAAGAACGCTACAACTGCTCAGCTCAAGTCCGATCAACGTAAGAAACGGAAGAGGAGGAGGAGGAGGAGGAGGAGGAGGAGGAAGAGGCGGAAGTGGAGGAGGAGCAGAAGGAGGAGGAGGCGGAAGAACGCTACAGCTGCTCAGCTCAAGTCCGATCAACGTAAGAAACGGAAGAGGAGGAGGAGGAGAAGGGGAGGAGGAGGAAGGAGGAGAGAAAGAGGCGGAAGTGGAGGAGGAGGAGGAGGCGACGTACAGCTGTCAGCTCAGTCGATCAACGTAAGAAAGAAACGGAAGGGAGGAGGAGGAGAAAGGAGGGAGGAGGAGGAGAGGAGGAGGAGAGGAGAGGAGGGCGGAAGTGGAGGAGGACGAGGAGGAGGAGGCGGAAGAACGCTACAGCTGCTCAGCTCAAGTCCGATCACGTAAGAAACGAAGAGGAGGAGGAGAGGAGGAGAGGAGGAGGAGGAGGAGGAGGAGGCGGAAGGGAGAGGAGGAGGCGGAAGAACGCTACAGCTGCTCAGCTCAGTATCAACGAAGAAACGGAGGAGGAGGAGGAGGAGGAGGAGGAAGGAGGAGTAGGAGGAGGAGGAGGAGGAGGAGGAGCGCGTCATTTCTGTGGGCCCCGCGGGCCGAAGCAGGCCGCCCAGGGGCACGCCCGGCCTCTCGAGCGCGCCCGCGCCTGCGTCGCCGCCGCCACGCCGAGGCGGCGCGCACGCGCCTGCCGTGGAGGGGCGGGGGCTCCCCGGGGCGAGGGCGCGCCGCCCCGGCGTGGACGAACCTGCGATGGCAGAGGCCTCCCGGAGGGGCTGCGAGCAGATAGGGCCGGAGGATCGCGACGCCTCGCCGATGCATCGGCGATGCGTCGGTGACGTCGACGACGTATCGCCGCATCGCCGCATCGACGCATCGGCGCGATCCTCCGACCCCTCTGCTCGGACCCCATCCGGGAGGCCCAGAGATGGCTGCTCCCGGCCGCCTCCGCGCTGCCAGGGCGGCGAGCGCGCGCCAGGCCACGGCGCCGTGCAGACAGGAGAGACGAAGAGGGACGACGCCCGCCGCCCGCCGCCCGCCGGCGCCAGGCCCTCTCGCCACGGCGCCACCCCCCTCCGCCCCGCCCAGCACTGACAGCCCACCGCTGCCTCCGCCGCCGGGCCCGGGCAGCTGGACTGCGATCGAGCACCTCCTCGGCGAGAGGTGCCGGTCGCGCCCTGCAGCTCGTCCCCGTCGCCCGCAGGCCAGGCCCTCTCGCTGCGGCGCCGCCGTCCCTACAGTTCACCGCTGCCTCCGCCGTCGGGCGTGGCCCCTGGACTGCTACCGGGGGGGGCGAAAGAGCGTGCCGGGGGGGGGGGTACAGCAGGCACGTACGATGACAACTCTTTTCTATACCCTTCGTCGACCCCTGAGGATCCCAAAGTGCCCCAGAGCTCATGTGGGCCCCCTGGGGGCGAAGGCATTTCTGGGGGGCACCTGCTGGCAGGCCGATTTCGCTGTAGAATTCGGGCATCGGCTGGCTGCACGCAGCTGGCTCTGCACGCGCCCCGCGGCACCGGGCGCGACCGCCCCCTCCGAAAGGCAGCCCCCGTTCCCCCCACACACACACCCTTCGAGCCCTCCGACGCTGTGGAGCACCTCCTCGACGAAGGTATCGATCTCGCCCTCCAGCTCGTCCACCGCCCGCAGGCCCTCTCGCCACTTCTCCACCTCCCGCCAGCCCTCCGGGGAGCCTCCGAGGGCCGCGCCGAGGATGGTCCCCAGGAGGGCGTTGCGGTTCGTGTTCTCGCCCCCAGCGTTGGCGCCCGCCAGCAGCGCCTCCTCCAGGCTGCTGTTGTCCGCCACCGCACCCTCGGCACGGCGGGGCGTGTCAGAACACCTGCTGGCCGTGTTCGCGTGTGTGTGTGTATATATATATATATACTAGAACCACGCGCGCGCTTCGCGCGCGCTTAGGTTCTAGCTAGGATCGTCACCGCTCTCTGGGAGTTTGACGTAGCTTCTCGGGAGCCTCGTAACCTGTCGGGGGCCTCCTGGAAGCAGGTTCGAAGCAAATTTTGGGGGCCGATTTGGGGCTTCTGGGGGGCCTCCTTTGGGCCTCTTGGGGGTCTCCTGGGGCCTCTTGAGGGGCCTCCTTGAGGCCTCCTGGCGGCCTCTTGAGGCGGAAGGCTCGAGCTTGCGGTTCGTGGTCCCCCTCTGGGCCCCCTCTGGGGCCCGTCTTGGGGCCCTCTTGGGCCATCTTGGGCGCCTCTTGGGCCGTCTTGGGGCCCTCTTGGGCTGTCCTGGGGCCCTCTTGGAAGCTTCTTGGGCCGTCTTGGGGCGGTCTTGGGCGCCTCTTGGGCCGTCCTGTAACGTCGGAAAGCCCAAAAGGCAACTCTGTGAAAAATGTACGTTTTACGAAGGGAATTGGCAAATTGTTGCGTCTAGGGGCCCTCTTGGGACGCATGTTGGAAGCGTCTTGGGGCGTCTTGGGGGCGTCCTTGGACGTCTGGAGGCCATCGTCAGCATCTCGGAGCCCTCTTGGAGGCCTCTTGGAAGTTTCTTGGGCCGTCTTGGGCGCTTCTGGGGCCGTCTTGTCTGACCGGGGAGGCCTCCGGCAAGCCCCGACGAGCCTCCGGGCTCCCCGGGGCCCACATTTGTGGTCGAGGTCCCGGCCCCGGGCCCCCGGACCCGGTGCGCCGTTATGTGTGTGTGTGTATATCTATATATATATATATATATATATATATATATATATATATGTCTGTGTGTGTGTGTGTACTAGAACCATCGCGCGCGCTTCGCGCGTGCTCAGGTTCTAGCAGGCCCCAGGCCTTGACGAATTCAATGCTCCACTGAAGTAGTGGACCACAGTCCACGCATGCCAATCTGCATTCCGAAAGGCCTTCGAGGAAAATGGTTGTGTAGGGGGGGGAGGCCGTATGAATCGGGTTCCCAGAAGGCCTTCTGGGAGCATGGGTTTGTGGGTGTCTTGGGGAGCCTGTTGGGGCGTGCCGACGTCGTCGTCGCAATGTCGTCGTCGCCTATTGGGGCGCGCCGTCGTCGTCGTCGTCGTCGTCGTCGTCGTCGTCGTCGTCGTCGTCGTCGTCGTCGTCGTCGTCGTCGTCGTCGTCGTCGTCGTCGTTTCGTCGTCGTCGTCGTCGTCGTCGGTTCAAGAGGGCACTTGGGGCAACTTTGTGCGAAACGATCTTCGGAGGGCCGCGAGAAGGCGGTCAGTCATGTTCCCAATCAACTTCCCAGACAGCTCTCCTGTAGCATGATGGTACTTCGAAGCCTCCGGAGACTCACGGGCCCATGATGAACCATGTCCCTGGAAGGCTTTCTGGGGACACGGTTTGTTGGGGTGTGTTGGGGGGTCTCTTGGGCGTTCCCTGGGGGCCCCTTGGGGGCCTCCGGGAACTCTCGGACCCATGATGAACCATGTCCCCGGAATGTTTTCTGGGGACATGATTTCTTGGGGTGTGTTGGGGGGCCTCTTGGGCGTTCCCTGGGAGCCCCTTGGGGGTCTCTTGGGGCTTCCTGGGGGCCTCTTGGGCGCCTCACGGAGCTTCGTGGGAGCTTCTTGGTGGCCTCCGGGGGCCTACAGGCGGCCTCTAAGGCCAGACACTTCGAAATATCGGTTGGCGGTCCCCCGCTGGGCCCTCTCTTGGGGAGCTCTTGGGGCACACTTGGGTTGTCTGGGGAGCCTCCTGGGCCGTCTTGAGGCCGTCTTCGGGGCCTTGTGGCCCGTCGTGGAGCGATCTGAAGGGCCTCCGAGCGAGGCCGTAAGGGAGCGCTGGGAAGCGGGGAAAGCGAGAACGCCTAAATCCTTCAAAAACCATCGGATAATTAGTGAATCTTGCCGCCCAGGGCCCTCTTGGGGAGCCTCTTGAGTCCGTCCTGGAGCGTGTTGGAGTCCTCGTCGGCCGTCCTGAAGGCAGATTGGGCGTCTTTGGGGCCTCTTGGGACCGTCTAGGTTCCTCTCGGGACCTCCATCAGCCTGTTGTGGCCTGCTTCGGGGCGGGCCCCGCCGCCTCGGGACCCCTCTGGGCCTTCTCTTGGCGCGCTCTTGGGGCACACTTGGGTTGTCTGGGGAGCATCCTGGGCCGTCTTGGGGCCCTCGTCGGGGGTGGGCCTTCTTGGATCGATCTGAAGGGCCTCCGAGGCCGTGAGGGAGCGCTGGAAAGCGGGGAAAGCGAGAACGCCTAAATCCTTCAAAAACCATCGGATAATTAGTGAATCTTGCCGCCCAGGGCCCTCTTGGGGAGCCTCTTGAGTCCGTCCTGGAGCGTGTTGGAGTCCTCGTCAGCTGTCTTGAGGGCAGATTGGGCGTCTTCGGGGCCTCGTGGGGCCGTCTTGGGCCCTCTCGGGACCCCCTTAGCCTGTCGTGGCCTGCTTCGGGGCGGGCTCGGGCCGCCTCGGGAGCTCTGGACACTGGACACCCCCCGCAACCCCCGGTGGGCACCGATGGGGGGAACAGGCAGCGGCCCGCAGCCCCCCCCCGGGCCTACTCCGAGATATTGAGAATCATGTTCCCGGGAAGCTTTCCGGGAGCATGATTTGTTCGGCTCTCTCAGAGGGGGGCCTCTGGGGGCTTACCGAGGGGCGCCTTTGGGCCTTGTCTTGGGGCGCTCTCGAGGCCCTCTTGACTTATCTGGGGAGCCTCCTGGGCCGTCTCTGGGCTTTCTTGGGAGCCTCTTCGGCCGTCTTGGAGCGATCTGAAAGGCCTCTGACGCGGTCCAAGACCGTGCGGAACATGGGAGAGCGCAAGAATGCTTCAAAAAACGTTGGAAAATTTATGATTTTCGGCTTCTGGGGTCCTTTGGAGGGGCCTCTGGAGGCGCTCTTGAAGCGTTTTGGCGGCGTCGTCGGTCGTCCTGAGGCCATCTTCGGCGTGTCCGGGGCCTCTGGGGGCTATCTTTGGGCGTCCTGGAACCCCGGAAATCATGTTCCCGGAGAGGCTTCCGGGAACATGATTTCGAACGAGGCCCTCTTGGGCCTCCTGGAAGCCGTCTTGGGGGGCCTCCTGGGCCGGCTTTGGGGCCTTTGGGGCCGTCTTGGAAGGTTCCGTCAGCCCCACAGGACGACCCTTTTGGGCCCTCTGGGGCCCTCTTGGGTCTCTCTTGGGCTGTGTTGGGGCTCCGCGGTGGCGTCTGGGGAACTGTGAAGACGAAGCCAGCGAGTATGCTGAAAATGTACGTTTTACGATCGGAATGGGCCGATGTTTGCCTCTTGAAGGCCCTCTCGGGGCCCTCGTCGGCAACCTTCAAGCCATCTCGGGCCCTCTTCGGGCCTCGCTGAGGCTGTCTAGGGGCCCTCTTGGGGGCCCTGGGAACCCAGAAATCATGTTCCTGGAGAGGCTTCCGGGAACTTGATTTCGAACGAGGCCCTCTTGGGCCTCCCTGAGGCCGTCTTGGGAGCCTCCTGGGCCGGCTTCGGGGCCTCTTGGGCCGTCTTGGGGGGTTCCGTCAGCCCCACAGTACGATCTTTGTTGGGCCGTCTTGGGCCCTCTTGGGTCTCTCTTGGGCTGTCTTTGGGCTCCTCGGGGGCGTCTGGGGCACTGTGGAGACGAAGCAAGCGAGTATGCTGAAAAACGTGCGTTTTACTGAAGCGATTTTTGCCTCTTGAAGGCCCTCTTTGGGCCCTCTTCGGCCATCTTTAAGCCATCTCGGGCCCTCTTGGGCCTCGCTGAGGCTGTCTTGGGGCCCTCTTGGAAGCCCTGGGAACCCTTTCGGGCCATCTTAGGCCCTCTTGGGTCTCTCTTGGGCTGTGTGTGTTGGGGCTCCGCGGTGGCGTCTGGGGCACTGTGATGACGAAGCCAGCGAGTATGCTGAAAATGTACGTTTTACGATGGGAATGGGCCGATGTTTGCCTCTTGAAGGCCCTCTCGGGGCCCTCGTCGGCAATCTTCAAGCCATCTCGGGCCCTCTTCGGGCGCTCTTGGGCGTCTTCGGGGCCTCTTGAGGCTTTCCTGACCGTCTGTACGGCCCGCGTGGCCTGTCGTGGGCAATTTGGAAGCGGCCCGGGGCAGTTCCGGGGGGTCTGTGACCCCCCAAGGTTCCAGGGGGCGCCCATGGGGGATGACGGCACCGACCCGGGCCCACCCCCCGGCCTACTCCGATATATATATATATATATATATATATATGTATATACATATATATATTATATAATATATATATATATATGTACATACATACATACATACATACATACATACATACATACATACATACATACAAACAAACATACATACATACATTCATGCATGCATGTATGTATGCATGCATGCATGCATGCATGCATACATACATACATCTATGCATACATACATACATACATACATACATACATACAAACATACATACATGCATACATACATACATACGTACGTACGTACGTACATACAGACAGACAGACAGACAGACAGACAGACAGACAGACATAGATACATGCATACATAAAGTACATGCATACATGCATACATGCATACATGCATGCATGCATACATGCATACATGCATACATGCATGTATGCATACATACATGCATGCATGCATGCATGCATGCATGCATGCATGCATACATACATACATACATACATACGTACGTGTATATATATATGTATATGTATATATATGTGTATATATATATATATATGTATGCGTATGTCTCTACTGGGCCACCTCCGCGAGATCTCGGCAGGGTCATCATACAGGGATCCCGGCGCTGCCCTGGCACGGTGCCGGCTGCACGCAGGAGTGACCCTAGACAGGACTGACCTTTGGTGTGCGGGCCGCGGGGCGCGCTAGCCAGAGCTGGCGAGATCCCCGTGGGCCCGCACCACCAGAGGTCACTCCGGCGAAGGGTCACTCGTAGGCGCAGCTGACGGTGGCGGGGCTTGCCGCAGGCAGCACTGGATACTTGTAGGCCAGGAGCAGCGTGACGGGCCAGTTGCTCCCCACGTAGCACGCCGACATGGGGTCGCTGGCGCCGTGGTCCCCCCGGCTGGCCGCGAACGACTCCAGCTTCTGGCGGGTCAGGGGCAGGGCGCCCGAGAACTCGTCGACGAGCTCCTCGATGGCCGGGCGCAGCGGCGTCCCGTCCAGCACCAGCTTCCGCAGCAGCCGATGGTACCTCGCTCGGCGGAGGTCTCCGCGGAGGCCGCGGCTGCACGCAGAAGCGGCCCCAGGCAAGAGAGACCTTTGGTGCGCGGCTTTCGGAGGTCGCGAAGGGGTCAGACACAAGCGCCCAGGCCGCTGCTATCGCGTCGCATTCGGCGATCGGGGGGGGCCCCGGTGGGTCCGCCCCAAAGGTCGCGAAGGGTCACTCTTACGGGTAGTCGACACCAAGAAAAGGCAAACACATATGCTAATCCTACGGCAAATCCGTGTCGTACCGACGTCGGCATTGCTTCCTGACACTGCGGGGATCGTTCAACCTTGAACGATCGGCCGTTTCCGAAACGCAAGATCGTTCAACATCGGCCGACTTTGGGTTGCTGCCGGCGTTCAACGTTGAACGCCTGTGGCGGGATCGCCGCCGGTCGACACGACGCGAACCTCCCGTATCCCTGCAGGTCAGGGTTCTGTAATGCCGGCTGGGGCTCAGATGAACAGGATGTCGCATCCGCAGCGAATGAACCCCAGCGGATCCCCCGGCGTCGATCTAACAATTTTTTGATCCGCGGGTCGAGAGCGCACCTCTCCCGGTCGAAGCTAAGCGGGCCGCGCGAAGCTTGAATTAACCAGAGATGGGTGAGGAAAAGGGGGGCGCAGACCAGAACGAGGCCGGGAGGAGAAGCGTTGATCTAACAGGGAGGAGTAGGGTTCGCAAGTGGTCGCAGAAAAAGAGGGCCCCAGAGGCCCGCGTGGAGGCCCGATGGGGGTGCGTCCCCAAGGGGGGCCGCCCGAGGGCCCCAGAGAGGCCCCCGAAGGCCCGAAGAAGGCGACCCCCTGCAAACATCGGACGAGGAGGGAACCTCCGAGAGGGGCGAGGCCTCCTCCTCCTCTTCTTCTTATGCTTAGTATTATTGTTGTGATTATTATTCTTCTTCATCTTCTAGGTACTATTTTTCTTCTTATCGTTTTTCTTCTTCCTCTTGTGATTATCATCATCATTATTATTATTATCATTATTATTATTATCATTATTATTACTACTATTATTATTATTAGTATTATTAATAATACTTAATTATGATTAGTATTACCATTATTAGTAGTAGTCGTATTGTTATTCCTCCTCCTCCTCCTCCTCCCCCGCCTTCCTCCTCCTCCTCCTCCTCCTCCTCTTTCTCCTCCTCCTCCTCCTCCTCCTCCTCCTCCCCCTCCTCCTCCTCTTCCTCCTCCCCCTCCTCCTCCGCCTCTTCCGCCTCCTCCTACTCCTCCTCCTCCGCTTCCTCCGCCTACTGCTTTTTGGCGTTGGGCAAGCCTTGAGACGGAGCCTGTGGCGATACTGTGGAGAAAGCACGGCATCAACCCACAATGTCGGAGCTCCTCCTCCTCCTCCTCCTCCTCCTCCTCCTCCTCCTTTCTCCTCTATACTCCTACCCCTCCTCCCGCTCCTCCTCCTACTCCTCCTACTCCTCCTCACCTCCTCCTCCTCCTCCTCCTCCTCCTCCTCCTCCTCCTCCCCCTCCTCCTCCTTCTCCTCCCGCTTCCTCCTCCTCCTCCTCCTCCTCCTCCTCCTCCTCCTCCTCCTCCTCTTCCTCCTCCTCCTCCTCCTCCTCCTGCTCCTCCTCATCCTTGCTCCTCCTCCTCTTCCATCTTCTCTTCCTCTCCTCTCCTCCTCCTCTCTCCTCCTCCTCCTCCTCCTTCCTCCTCCTCCCCCGCCTCCTTCTCCTCCTTCTCTTCCTCCTCCTCCTCCTCCTGCTCCTCCGCCCCCTCCTTCTCCTCCTCATACTCCTCCTGCTCCTCCTCCTCCTCCTCCTCATCCTCCTCCTCCTCCTCCGCCTCGCCTCCTGCTTTTTGGCGTTGGGCAAGCCTTGAGACAGAGCCTTCGATGCGACTCCTCCTCCTCCTGCTCCTCATCCTCCTGACGACATGATTTGTTCCATGCCGTGGACCCCCAAAGGTCTGGAACCCTTCCCGGGAACTGGTTTTCCATCCTGGGTCTCTGAGTCGCTTTTTGGCGGTCCCGAGGCCCAGGGCCGAACATAGCGACAAACCTTCCGTCGTGACTTTTTCGTGACTTGAGGGGGTCTGGATCCTCGATCCTCCGTCCTCGACCCTCGATAGGAGGATCCTCGGCCCTTGGTGCTCCTCGAGGCACTGAAGGCCCACCTCGGGCAGCACGCTCGACCTACGCACCACGTTCACGCAGTCGTGGAGCAGGGGGCCCACGAGGGCCGCGTCCTCCGCGGCGGCATGGCTCGAGCCGCGCTGGCCCTCGCAGAGGAACCACAAGATGCACAGACAGAAACTTTCGTCGGCGCCGAGCCCAAGAGGGGTAATGCCGAGGGGGCCGGCCTTCCCAGAAGGCTCGGAAGGCCTCGGGCCTCCTGAGAAGCTGTCTAAGCCTTCTCGCCTTCTCCGGAGACAGAGACGGCTTATCGGAAGGCGCGAGGACTTCTGCTGAGCCCCGGCGCCTTCTGACAAGGCCTGCCACCAATCACTTCCCCCCCCCCCGGCGCGCCGCCGACTCGTGGACGAACAGCAGAATGCACAACAATTAACCTTTTGGAGCTCCAGGCGGACTTCTTGGCTCGGCGCTGGATACCTCAGAGCAGGACGAGGTACCAATGATTACCGCTGCCCATCATGGAGAGCCCCCGTCGCAACGGCTGGACTCTCCACGAAATTCTGGTCAGAACGCACCCCAAGAGAGGTCTGGGGGGGTAGCGGTATCGGTCCCTTCGTGCTCCCCCGTGAGGGGAGGAGGCGGAGGAGAAAAAAGCGGAGGAGGAGGAGGCAGGCAGGCAGGCAGGCAGGCAGGCAGGCAGGCAGGCAGGCAGGCAGGCAGGCAGGCAGGCAGGCAGGCAGGCACGCACGCAGGCAGGCAGGCAGGAGGGAGGAGGAGGAGGAGGAGGAGGAGGAGGAGGAGGACAACGATGAGGAGGAGGAGGCGGCGGAGGAGGAGGAGGCGAAAAGAACATTGAGGAGACGGAGGACGAGGAGGAGGAGGAGGAGGAGGAGGAGGAGGAGGAGGAGCGGCAGCGGTACCATTTTGCTCTTCCGGTCCCCCTTCCCTGGGCGCGCCTCCAGCGCGCACGCGGCAGCGCTGGAGGCCCGGCGCCGGTCCAGGAACATGCCGCGCGGACTTCTCGGGTCGGCGCTGGGTCCCCCTCCTCCTCCTCCTCCTCCTCCTCCTCCTCCTCCTCCTCCTCCTCCTCTTCCCCCTCCCCCTCTCCTCCTCCCCTCCTCCTCCTCCTCCTCCTCCTCCTCCTCCTCCTCCTCCTCCTCCTCCTCCTCCTCCTCCAGGATAGGAGCCTGGAGGCCCCTCCATTTCTCGGGTCGCACGCACCATCCGCGCGACCGCGGCGCGGGCGCAACCTTCAACGCGCCCCCCTGCCACCGATGCAATGTCAGGAGGCCCAGTGCCGAACCAAGAAATGCGCACGGATTTCGTGGATCGATGCTGAGTCCCAACTGCGGCTGGTGGACAAGAGCCCGCAGCACCTGCGCGACCAGTGCGCGGTCGCAAACTTCAACGCGCCCCTGCCCCCGATTCCATGTTGCTTGGCATCGCCCGCGGGGCGCAGGAGTTCGGCCAGTCGACAGATTGACAGATCGCAGGGCAACCCGCAAATGTGAAGTTGGGGTGGCGGGCCGGTCGGTCGGAGTCGTACGCTACAGCCACCGGACACGGACGCAGGAATGCAGATCGGCGTGTCTTCATGCTCGCCGAAAAATGCTGCAGGTTTTTTCCAGCGTGGCGGCGACTCTGGCGCCGCCCCTGGCTCGCTCGGCGCGCCAGGGAGGGGGGAACCAGTGCCGATCCGAGAAAATCCGCACGGAGCTCCGAAAGTTCATGCTGATGCCGTGGAGGAGGAGGGGGAGGATGTGGAGGAGAGGAGAGGAGAGGAGAGGAGGAGGAGGAGGAGGAGGAAGAGGAGGAGGAGGAGGAGGAGGAGGAGGAGGAGGAGAAGGAGGAGCAGGAGGAGGAGGAGGAGGAGAGGAGCAGGAGGAGGAGAGGAGGAAGAGGAGGTGGAAGAGGAGGAGGAGGAGGAGGAGGAGGAGGATGAGGAGGAGGAGCAGGAGGAGTATGAGGAGGAGAAGGAGGGGGAGGTAGAGGAGGAGGAGGGAGGGAGGAGGAGGAGGAGGAGGAGGCGGAGAGAGGAGGAGGAGCAGGAGGAGGGGTTAGGAGGAGGAGCAGGAGGAGGGGTAGGAGGAGGAGGAGGAGGAGGAGGAGGAGGAGGAGGAGGAGGAGGAGGAGGAGGAGGAGGAGCTCCGAAATTGTGGGTTGATGCCGTGCGTTCTTCTCCGAGGCCTGGCTCGAGCCGCGCTGGACCTCGGCCGCCTCCACCAGGGGTCGACCAGAAGAGTGTCGTGTGTTCTCGTGTCGTCTTCGTTTTGAGGCGCTTTTACACGAAGCGGTCTGGAAGATTGCCCAAGATCAGCGCTTTAGCGAAAATCCCAAGTCGTGGTTGACCAATGGTAGGTCGCAGAGCGAAACCAAAACGAGCACGCGGAGAAAACGAAGACAATCCACGAAACTGCTCAAACAGCGGTGTGGTCGACCCCTGGCCTCCACCAGAAGCTGGTTGAGGCTGACGACACCCACGTTGATGAGCCTCAGGGGAGGAGAACCCACCGATGCCAATACCCTCCGCTCATTTTCGTCATTCGGGCCTCTTGGGAAGCCCTCGCCGGCGCGGCTGAAGTCGCCTCGGAGTCCCCATCAGAGCGCACGCGCTGCGACCAGGGCAAGCATGCGTAATAATCACACTCTCACGCCTGGAGTTTCGCGAGACCTCGAGGCTCGTTTCTCGAAGCTCGTAAAGGTGGAATCCCTACGGAATAGATGAAGCCTCGCTGGATTTCACGCGACTCTGCACGGAAATGCCCGGTTGCAGCGATGTCGGCATCCGAGCCGCAAAAGCTGCGGCGGCGTATACCTTCCCTCCTGGCGGCGCAGCAGCAGTAGGAGAACAAGGGGGGAAAGCCCAGAACGACGCCCCCCCCACCCCCGCAAGCGACCCACTCCCCACGGGTGGGGGCGACCAGGGATGCGGTGCTAAAACAAGAGCGTGCCCAGGCGCGACGGGTAAAACCCAGCATCTTGCTTGCCGCCCCTGGGCCCGTCCACGCTGTCGGTGTTGTGCCCGTCGTTGTCGGCGCACCCGAAGGGGTCGCGGGTGGGTTCCCCGCCCTCGCCGCCCACGAAATTTGCGAAGAACATGCGGTGCGCGGTGGCGACGTACACGTCCGGGTGCGAGTCCCTGGTCGTCATGAAGCGGACGCGTCCGAGCCCCGGAAGCTTCCCAAGACGGGCTCTCGGGGGGTGGGGGGGACATCGACGTGGAATCGGCGATGTCTCTGGGGGCCACCCGTTCAGGCTGACACCTTCTCAGCGGACATCCGCGTGCCGAACAGGTGCTGAAGAGACAGGGTTGTAGAGATGGGGCCTCGCACAGGGCCCGAAGAATTGTGCGAATTGTGTACTAATTTGCTTCGATGCGTTGGAGGTCTGGCTCCCAAGGCCCCCAAGGGTCTCGGGCGGGTGCTAATGGGGGGATCTAGATTCGGGAGCGGCCAAGAGAGGGTGTCCAAGAGGGGGGGGTGCAAATCATGACCGGCGGCACGTGCGCGGTCCAGCGGGGGGGCCAGGGGCGTAACGAGATAAGAAGAGGCGCCGTGAAACCTGGGGAGATATCGTGGTCCACGCCATGATATCCACACACCCCTAGTCATCACCCCCCTCTTTTCCGCCCCCGAGAGTGCCGCCCCGCCCAGCCTCTCGCGCGGGCCCCCGAGGCGGAGGTGGAGGCGGAGGCGGAGGCGGAGGCGGAGGCGGAGGAGGAGGAGGAGGAGGAAAAAAAACGAGGGAGGGAGGAGGAGAAGACAAGGGCCCTCTAAAGCGGCCCTCTCCCCGCCCCTCTTGGAGCCAGCGGGGGCCCCAGGAGGGGCCCTGCCAAGGGCCCCCCCTTGGGGGCCCCGTCCCTCGCGCCATCGCTCGGGCGTCCATCCCCCGTGCATGTTTCGGCCTCGTGCGCGCTCTTTGTTGCTGCTTTGTTCTCCTCCGGTGGTCCCCACAGAAGGAAACATGCACACGCCCGAGCGACGCCAAGGTTCCGCATCCCCCGATGATTTAGGTCCCCCCATCACGACCCGCCCGAAGGTCTGGCCCTCTCCCCCGGGACCAGCTTCCCATCCTGCGCCCCCGGGGCCCCTGGGGCGCAGGGTCCCCGAGACGCCGAGCACGACGCAACACTTCTCCGCCTTGCCTTTGGCCGAGACGCTGGGTCCAGACATCTGGCGCTCGAATTTTCTTCGATGCGCGGATCGGGCCGGCTTTTTCGCCCCGAGTGGTTTTTGTTGACAGTCCCGGGGCCGGTCGAGGGGCCCCCGGAGGCCGAACGGAGCAGCACACCTTCCGTCGTGATGTGTTCACGACTCGAGGGGGTCTGGATCCTCGACCCTGGATCCTGGATCCTGGAAAAAAAATGGCCGGAGAGGTCTGGCTCCCCAGCGGTCCGGACCACTTTCCCGGGGCCGGGGCTCCGTCCCGAGCCGTGGTTTGGCAGCCCCGGGGCCCGCGGAGGGCCCCCCGAGGCCGAGAACGGCAACAAAACACCTGCCGCTCCCATGTTTGTCGGAGCTTTTTGGCTCTCTCGGAGAGCCTGGCTCCCGAGGGCTCGGAGCTGTAGGCCGCCAGGAAGGCCGCCGTGAACGGCGTCCTGCGGGCGGCGCCGCCCTCGGCGCCGCCCGCTGCTGGCAGCGCCCGCAGCCGCCGCAGGTCCCGCCGGAGGGAGCCAAGGCTGGCGAAGTCCGCCTCCGCCTCTCAGTCGGGCGGCGATCCGAGTCCTTCGTCGTCGTCTTCGTCTTCGTCGTCGTCGTCGTCGACGTCGACGTCGCCGTCGTCGTGTCCGTCGTTGCCGTCGTCCTCATCGTCGTCCGTTGTCGCCGCGCGTGGCCGCGGCGGCGGCGGCGGCGGCGACGGCGACGGCGACGGCGACGGCGACGGCGACGGTGACGACGTCGAGGACGACGAAGGACGAAGGTCAAAGACGACGAAGGTGACGAAGTCACTCTCCGCCAGACGGTTGGGGGAGGAACCCAACTTTGAACGTCCAGGGGTCGCTATAGGAGCTGGTCCCCCACCAAAGCAAAACGACCGAAACCTTCCCGCAACCCTCCGAACACCCTCCCCGAAAGGCTCCGGAATTTCACACCGGCTTATGGTCGTTTTGGAAGATGACTCCCAAACCCGGGTCGGCCAGAGGGAAGTGGCTGACCCCCGTTACGCTCGGGGGGGAGTCTGCGCGAGGTGGTACCGCTGGGGCGCGAGCCATGGACGCTGGGAGCGTCCCTGAAGAAGCGGTACCCGCGGCTGCGCAAGATCGAGTCGAGGGCGCAGCAAGATGAGGGCATCGGATAAGGAACCATTGGATAAGGAACCCAGGGTCTGAAAGGTGGTGGAACCTCAATGGAGGCTTGGCCATGGACCTCGCCGCCGCCCTCATCAGATACGTAATCCTCCAGTGTCCGACGCATCCTGGGCACACTCCTTCACAAACGCCCAGCGCCTTAGATCCCCAGAGGTCCGACGCTCCAAACAAGTTGGAGCGGCCGGTGCTGGTCCGTTTTCGGCCACCAGGGGGCCTCGCAGAGCCCTGGCACCGTCAAAAACGACTCGGGACCGTTAAAAAACGACTCGGGGTGAGAAGCCGGCCCAGGGGAGAGAGTCGGGACCTCCAAGGACCCCACACTGAAGCAAGAACAAAACATCAGCGGTCTGGGCAGGGACCACCGCCACCGAGAATAGTCAAAAAACACCTCCGAAAGGTCAAACATAGTACAAAAGAAAAAAAACGTCTCCACACGATTTGCTAACAAAATCTATGTTTGAATACTCCTTCTGTAGAGGGACGTGCCCGACTTAGCACGCCCCCGCGCCACCCAGTACAGCACGACGCTCGGGCGTGTCACCAGCCAGGGGCCGGCGCCCCCCCGCCCTCGACGAGCTCTCGGTGGCGATGGTCTGTGTCCCTCGCTGCCCTCTGCGGGCGGAGAAGTGATCGTTTTCTTATTCACTGTCTTGCCGATCGGCGTGGGCCCCCCACCCCCCCCTCCCCTCCACCCCATATGGGGTAGATCTTGGCTGCTTTGGGCGCCTTTTTCGAGTGGGTGGGGTCCCCCCAGAGACTGCACTCTTGCAAACAGTCGCACTAAGCAGAGGTCTGGAGCCAGAACCCCGCCTCCCCCCCCCCTTCCCGCCCAATGTCGAAACGCCGAATAAAAAAAAACGCTCACAAACGGAGACCCTCAGGCGGAGAAAGAGAACCTTGTTTTGCCCTCAGGGCGGAGACAATCATGTTCATGTCTGTGTTTCCTCATCCAGGCTGGGAGAAGAAACACATAAACGAAAACAAACTGTCGGAGCTCCGCGCGGATTTCGTGGATCGGCGCTGGGCCTCCTCTGGCAGCACCTCTGGCGCCGCCCCTGGCGGCGCCGAAGGCGCTCCAAGAAGGGGGATCCTGGGGAAGCAAAGGTGTCGAAACCGCCACTCCCTGGCAAAATCCCGCGCCGATCCGAGAAATCTGCGCAGAGCTCCGACAAACTTCTGGTTGTTGTTGAGCAGGGACCGACCGTCCCGGCGTCCCTGTAGTCCTACCACGACATGCTCCCATAACCAAATAGGTGTTCGAACAACAAAGCAGCGCTCTGAGAACATGGAGCCGATGTGTTACAACCGGACGCTCTGAGCCAGGCATGTTCGAAAAACACTTCTTGCAAGCCGCCAAAAGTTCTCAGGCCATTCCCCGATTAGCTTAGGTCGGGCCTGTCCCCCTGCAGGGGGATTGTGGACGAAAAATGAAGAATGCTCAGAAAAACTCTTCAAAAAATGCAAAAAAAATACTCAAAAAATATTCTCCAGGCTATTTTTGACTTGTTTGGAATATTCCCCCTGTAGAGGGACAGGCCCGACTTAACGGTGGGCCTACAGGGCAGCCAGGACGCCTCGCCACCGCCCGGTTCTTCGGCGCCTGCGCCAGCCAGGCGGGCACGGCCAGCGGCCCAGCCGAGGGGTCGCCCGCGCCGCCGCCGGCCGCCTCGGAGCCCCCAGGACATCCAACTCCCTGAAGTGCAGTCATGAAGGGGCCCTGGGACACACAAGTAAATACAAACAAATAACAAGTTCCCCTTCTATATTTTCCCACATCTTCTGGGCTGTGGTTCTCCCCCCCATTTCCCATATTCTCCCATGTCTTCCTGGGGGTCGAGGATCAATTGTGTCTGTGTGCTTTTCCCCTCCTGAAGTCAACCCGTACCATGAGGACGCACGATAAAGGTGCAAGGGCCCCGGAAGTCCGTGTCGACGCTTTGCCGACGGGGCGCGACCAGCGAAAGCGGGCCGGGAGGGGCCGAAGGGGAGGGACGCCAAGAGTGACTTCCGGTGCCCTCGCCGGGCCCCAGGCCGTGAGGAGAGCTGCGGCAAGCTCGTGACGTGACGACGACGGCGTTGGTTTCTGACACCGCGAGGATCCATCAATCAGGGAAACGTAGGACCTGGGTACAAGGGACTCGGAAATCCCCGACGAGGTCGTCAAAAAAATGACGAGGCCGAGCCTGCATTTTGACGAGGCCTCCCGCTGCAGACATCCCACGAAACTCCTCCTCGTCAAAATCCGAGGCGCGGTCGTCAAAAAACGATGGCGAACCCGAGTCCTGGCAAACCCGGGTCTTACGCTCCCCCGAATCAACCTTGAATGTTCGGCGGCTTTTAGATCTCCAGATCCTTCCAGTGTGGCCGACTCTGTGGGCCTTTAGCGGCGTTCAACCTTGCACGTCCGCGGCGGGGTCGCCGCCGCGTCGATGCGGCGTGGACCTGTCGTACTCTGGATGGAAGGCTGGCCCTGGGGAAGGGCCAGGATCTCCAGGGACCTCCGTGTTGAAAAAACTATGCGTCGGATGTCGGATGTCTGGGGGACAGGGCCGGAACCACCACGCGACCCACTGGGTTCGGACTCCTCTGTCGGGCTGGACGAAAAGACGGGGTTGGTTCACGAATCAGCTCACGCGGCTGGTTTTCCCAGCGCCTCACGACACTGGGGGCGCCAATCTATCGAAGAAAGCGCCCTGCGGGGACGAGACCAACTAAATGCAGCAGACATCGTGCGACCAGGCTTTGGAAGCGCACGGGCAGCGTGGAAGCGGCTGGGGAGACTGCGCTGGATGGGCACCGAGAACATTTGTCAAGAGGGGGGGACGACGGCAAGCCCGCTCAAGATCACTCCCGGACGTATCCAGGGGTCGTAACTGACCAGTTCTTTCAAC